GGCTCTGGAATCATCCGGAGCCGCATAAGGTGGCTAGATACCTCAACTCTCTGCTCTCCGAGGCCGACAAGGCCCGCGTCGAGAGGAACGATTATGAGCGCTCCTGCTATGCTACCCAGTGCCTTACTCGGGTACGTACCTCTTGCTCGAATTTAGCGTTTATGTATATATATTTTTTTATTATTTACTTACACTCTTTTTTTTTTGTTCTTAGCGTCCATACTCCCTGGCCTCGAGGCAGGAACTAAGGCCCCTACCTCCTCTACAAAGTCCTTGAGGATAAGTGCGAAGCCCAGCGCAAGCAAATCGAGAAGCTGAAAGAGGATTTGGAGGCCTCGAAGGCTTTTGTCGATAAGCTAAAGGCTGACAAGGCTGTGGCTCGCCATGAGAACGGGAAGCTCAAGGCAGACCTCGAGAAGGCTCAGGAGGAGGTCGTGTTCGAGAGGGATACCGTGTAGGGTCAGAAGTCGTTTCTAAAGTCTGTCGTGGCTCTGTCTTCGTCGAGACCTACCGCAAAGAAGTCGTCAGGGCTTTCTGCAATTCGCCTGAGTTTCTCGATAGGGTTTGCCCCGCTGCCGTTCAGTACTTCGATCATACTTTCGATGCATGGGAAGCGGTGGTGGCGGGGTCTGAGTTTGCTGCAAAACTCGATCGCGAGGCGATGAGGCGGGCGCTCCCCGACCCCGATGGTTATGAGGGTGACCATCCCTTCCAGATTATTACTCGTGGTGGTATGGCCTCGAGGCCAAGGCCATTCACGCCGCCAAACTATCTTCACAACTCGAGGCCCCTCCCATCCCCTTGATCGGTCCGACTAAATTACCTCAATCAAGTGGGGCTAATCTTGAGGGAGAGGTCCAAGAGGGAGATGCCGATGCTGAGCGGACTGCGACTATAGTCGATGTCGGTGCAGATAAAGCCGAGAAGTCGGACGCTGACTCCTAGGATTGTATCTTGAGGCTGTCGCCCCCTTTTTTTCAAATCTTTGCTTCTGCTTTTCTTTATTATCGTTCTCGACCTATTTTCAGATTGTAAAGGTCGAGACAATTTTCTATTGTAATGAATTTTGTCATGAATACTATCTTTTGTTTTCGTCATATTTTGTTGCTCTTACCTTGTCCTTGAATTGGCATATATGTCTAAACCATATATTCAGAATATGCAACCTTACCATTAGCAAATTGGTTTCATAGTTGCAGGCTTCATTGCCTTGTCGAGGATACAACTTCGTAGTTGTTTAAATCGACTTCGTAGTCGTAGGCTTCGTAGCCTTGTCGAGGTTCCACTTGAGTTACAACTTCGTAGTTGTTTAAATCGACTTCGTAGTCGTAGGCTTCATAGCCTTGTCGAGGTTCCGCTCGAGAATACAACTTCGTAGTTGTTTAAATCGACTTCATAATCGTAGGCTTCGTAGCCCTGTCGAGATTCCAATCGAGTTACAACTTCGTAGTTGTTTAAATCGACTTCGTAGTCGTAGGCTTCGTAGCCTTGTCGAGATTCCACTCGAGTTACAACTCGTAGTTGTTTAAATCGACTTCGTAGTTGTTCAGAATTAGTCGGCTTCTGAGCCGTTTCTTAAAAAATTCAACTTGTCAAGTAATCATAATAAGATTGATATGGATATGTAAAAGACAAATGAAACACAAACTTGAAATTCATTGCATTACTGAATTTGATTCGAACGTTTTTCAGTACAAAAAAGGGATTCAAGACATTACTTTTAAGCATAAAAGCGTTTTAGATGTATCACGTGCCAGGATCGAGGCAGCTGTCAACCTTCTCCGTCTTCAAGTCCGTATGCTCCCCTCTCAAGAACCTTTGTGACTGTGAATATCCCTTACCAATTGGCTTCAAGCTTTCCCACATGTTTTAGGGCATCTGCTCGCTTGAGGACGAGGTCTCCCACTTGGAAACGACGGGTTCGAACTTTCATTTCAAAGGCCGCGCGCATCTTTTGCTTGTATTCGACATACCGCACCCAAGCTTTCTCTCGCCCTTCTTCGATTAAATCAAGGGCTTCTGCGACCATTTCCACATTCTTCCCTTCTTCATAGAATGTCGATCTGTGAGACAGTAAACCCACTTCAATGGGCAAGAGCGCATCCATTCCATATACCATGTGGAACGGGGATTGACCCGTTGAACTTCTCGGAGTCATCTGATAGGCCCTAAGCACTGTTGCTAGCTCGTCGACCAAGCCCCTGACGCTTTTTGCAACCTTTTCTTTAGTCCCTGGAGGATAGTTCGGTTCGTTACTTCAGCTTGGCCATTAGCTTGGGGATGCGCCACTGAGGCAAATTGTTGTTTAATGCCCATGTCGAGACACCATGCTTGGATTCGTTTGCCTTGAAATTGAGTTCCATTAAATAAGATTAATATCTTTAGGACTCCGAATCGACAACAGATGTTGTTGAATAGGAACTGTATCATTTTTTCTTCAGTGATCTTTGCCAGCGGCTCTGCCTCGACCCATTTGCTGAAGTAGTCGACCGCGACTACAAAGAATTTTCTCTGCCCCGTTCCCATTTGCAAGGGTCCCACCAAGTCGATTCCCCACTGAGCGAAAGGTATCAGGCAGTTGATTGTCGTCATGGTTTCAGCCGGGATATGGGGAATCGGACCATGTCGTTGGGATCTTTCGCATCCTCGTACTAACTGCTCGGCCATCTTCTGGATTTTTTGCCAGTAGTAGCCTACTCGCAGAGCTTTGTCGGCTAGGGCTCGAGACCATGCATGCGCCCCGCAACATCCCTCATGAATCTCTCTTAGGACATAATTCCCATCCTCTTCAGAGACGCAGCGAAGGTGAGGGCCGGTCATCGACTTCTTATATAGGATCCCATCGATTTCTAAGTATTTGGTTAGACATCGAGCAAATTTCTCAGCTTTTTGCCTATCTCCTGTAGGTATGCGTCCTTGCAAGACTTCACGAATCGACTTCCTCCAATCGTCTTTTTCATCAACCTCCATCGTTTGGTTAAGGACACTTCCTTCCAGATGCAGCGTGGTGATATGACTTCCAATTTTTCCTTCATTAGAGCTTGCGATGCTTGCTAGCCAATCGGCTCGCTTGTTCTCCTCTCGAGATATTTGAGTCAGCTCGAATTTTTCCAGGCCTTGTATGAGGCTTCGGATTTCCTCAACATACTTCAACATTCTATCCTCCTTTACCTCGCAGTTCCCCATCATTTGGCCCATGACAAGGTGTGAGTCAGAGTGGGCTGCGATCTCTGTCGCTCCGCCACCTATTGCGAGTTGAATCCCTTTGATCAGCTCCTCATACTCCGCTTCGTTATTCGAGGCCTTGAAGCCCATTCTGATGGCGAAGTCGAGTTGTTCGCCTTCGGGGGATACTAGGACAATCCCCAGACCCGACCCTTTGGCTGCTGAGGATCCAGCGACATGCATTATCCACTTCTTTTTCTCTCCTTTGGTTCCTTCCTGGATGGAATCCGCTAAAGCTTGGGCTTTTATGGCACTCCTTGGCTCGTACTTGATGGCGTACTCACTTAGATCGACTGCCCATTCCACGAGTTGACCCGAAACAGTAGGTCGACCCAGGGTTTCTCCAAGCTGGAAATTTGTTCTTACTATTATCTCATGATTCAGAAAATAGGGCCTCAGTTTTCTAGCTGTTATCACCAATGTCAAGGCAGCTTTTTCGACTTCGGAGTATCTGGCCTCCGCACCCTGAAGTACTCGACTTGTGTAATAGATCGGCTGTTGGGCGCCTCCAGCTTCTCGCAGTAATACTGAACTTAAAGAGAATATTCCCACTGAGATGTAGAGTACCAGCTCGTCACTAGGTTCTGGTTTTGTTAACAACGGCAGTTCGCTTAAGAATTCCTTTAACTTTTCGCAGCCAGCCGTTGAGTCGACTAGCTGATTAATTCTTGGCAGCGGATAGTGATCCTTTGGGCATGCCAGGTTTAGGTCACGAAAGTCGATGCACATTCGCCACTTGTTCAGCGCTTTCCTTACCATCACAGTGTTAGATATCCATTCAGGGAATTGGATTACTTTGATATGTTTGGCTTTTAATAACTTGTCGACTTTGACTTCAATTGCCTTATCAATCTCGGCCCCATGATGCCTGAGTCGTTGCTTTACGGGTTTTTTGAGGGGATCGAAATTTAGCTTGTGTTCCATGATGTCTGGGTTGATTCCCGTCAGTTCCTCAGGGAAGAAGGCAAATATGTCTCCGAATTCCTTCAGCAACTCCACCAATTGTCTACGCAATTCATCCTCCAATTCCCTTCCAATTTTTGTGATTTGATCCTCCCTCTCCCCGATTTTGATTTCCATCAACTCTCCATGTGGCTCAAGGTCACCCCTAGGTCTTTTTTCACTCATCACGGGTCTTTTACCCTCCTTGATTTCTGTTTGTTGGTTAGTTTTCACTGCTATTTGGTAGCAGGTTCTCGACAATCTTTGGTCCCCTCGAGCCTCTCCGACTTGATCTCCTACTGGGAACTTCAGTTTCATGTGATAAGTTGATAGCACCGCCGGGAACGCGTTCAACGCAGGCCTCCTGAGAATCACATTGTAGGCGGATTCGACATCGACTACAACGAATCTCACCATTTTGACTTTCTGTAGGTCTCCTTCTCCAAGGACGACTGCGAGCGTGGTTTCTCCCAGGGGTGCAACTTCTGAACCATTGAATCCAAAAAGTGATGTATGCAGCAGTGTTAATTCAAGATCCAGCTCCATCCTCTTGAGGCAATTGTAGAAAATTACGTTCTCCGAACTTCCGGTGTCGACGAACACCCTTTGCACCTCATAACCCGATACTTGAGCCGTTATCATTCGAGCATTGTTGTGCGGCCTCTCGACTTTGCCTATATCCGCTGGCCCAAAGTTCATCACCGGGCCATTCTCCTCGACTTGCTGCACCTCGGCTTTTCTATAGCGGCCTCAAGCATACGCCTTTTTGGCCCGATTTGAATCCCCGTCTGTCGGCCCTCCAAATATCATATAGATTACCCCTCTCTTCTGAGGAAGCTCCTCCTTGTCGGGTGTTCTCGCCCTCTTGCGAGGGCTCTTGCTTCTTTCCCTTCGCCGACTGGTTCTCTCTCGATCCTTATAAATGAACTCCTTCAGATGGCCTGCTTTTATCAGCCTTTCAATCTCGTCTTTGAGGTGCCTGCAGTCGTTGGTGTTGTGCCCATAATCCTTGTGGAATCGACAATACAAATTGCTTTTGGGCTTCGTCGGTCCATCCTTTCTCGTTCGAGGCCACCGGACAACGTTGTCGCGGATCTCCTTCTCTATTACCTCCAATATTCTTGCTTGTGGAGCCGACAAGGGGGTGTATTGATTCGGCCTTCACCCTCTCAACCGCCCCTCTCTCACCATTCTTGGGGATCCCTTCCTCTCTATCGTTGAACTAGGCTTCTTATCCTTCTTCTCCTCTCGGGGTTCGGTTTTTGCCTTTGCCGCTTGCAAGAAGTCGGCTTCTGCTTCCTCAACATTCATATATTTGGCACACCTTCCCAAGACCTCATCAAAAGTCCTCCCAGGTCACTTCGCCAAGGAATTTATGCACAACCCGGGGAGCAATCCTCTGGTGGGTCCACCCGATTTAATCTCCTCAGTGGCTGAAGGTACGTCGACACATGCCCGCGTGTACCTTGCCACATAATCTCGCAACGATTCTCCCTCCTTCTATTGCATACCTATCAGAGTAAGATAAGATTTTTCTTGGGCCTTCACACTTGCAAATTGGTTCAGGAAACTCGAGCTAAACCCGTCAAAGTCCGTGACGGCTCCCGGGGGTAACTGATGGAACCAATCTTGTGCGGGTCCCCGCAGAGTCGTCAAGAACTCTCGGCATTGAACAGGGTCATTGTACCGATGCAACACCGTCATATTCTCAAAACTCCTCAGATGTCGAGTGGGATCAGTCGACCCATCGTACCAGATGTTGAGCTCTCTAAACCCCTGGGGTAGGTCAGCGTCTAGAATGTGTTGTGAAAAGGGGTGTCCCTTCGAGCTCCCTGTTTTTCTCCCCTCGACCCGAGCCTGGAAATCTCGCACCTGAGCCAGCAATTGGTCCAGAGTATCGTTCCTTGCTTGTGGATTGACAGTTCTGACAGAGGACTCTTCTTCGTCCGCCCTCCTGCTCTGTCTTTCATGGGACTGAGCTTGCTGTTCATGCTCATGGGGAGGTTGTTCGATCCGAGGCTACTCGATTCTTTGCTGCTCGACCCTAGGTTGCTCGACCCTGGGTTGGTTGACTTGTGTCTGTTTGAGTTGGGCCGCCACTGCCTCTGCAATCATTCTTTGCATCTCGCTTCTCGTCATGGTTAGTGTTTGCTCCTCGACTTGGGGTGGTGGCCTTGCTCCCCGTTCAAGTTGTCCGGGCTGCCTCCCCAAGCTCAGAGATGTTTCGGTCGATTCATGACCATCGACTCCTCCGCTCGTGCCTTTCACGTGGCTGGCCTCCCCTTGAGTGAGCACTGGGATCTTGACTCTAGGTGGGGTGATAGGTGTCTCTTCCCCCACACGCGCTCCTGACGGCGCGTGTGTTCCGAACGGTGGGAAACCAAACACTTAAAGCGGTGGTCTGGGGTTGGGAATCGACGGAGGCAGCTTGTCAGTCCACGTTGCCCTGAAATCCTCATTCAAATTCTTCTGCAGTCCTTCCTTCTCAGCCATCAGAGACAGATCAAAGCTAGGTGTAAATCTCTTAATTCCTTCAAGAACTCGGGTCTGTGTTTACTACTGGGGTGGAACCAAAGTTTGGAAGAATTTTGTCTATGAGAACCTCTATTGGAAAGTCAGATCACAACTTGATTGTGATGACAGTTGGATCAGTTGCAAACATAGGGGATTCACAAATTCATAAGGCAAGTAAGTGCATAGAGCAAGTATGTCGCATTGCGAATAATCGCAAAGGTGTGATTGTTTGTCACTTAGTTACATCAGTAGACGACCAATTAAATATTTTTCGAATTGATTTTTTAGCGAAAGAGGATGATGACTATGTTAAGGGATTGGAAGTTGGTTGTATGGCTGTGGGGAAAACAAATATTTGGGAATAAAGATTGAAAGTCTGTATGATTTTGAAAAGCTGAGAGCTTTAAAGTATAAGTGGGATATTGTTGGAGTATACTGTATTAGCTCGACTTTGTGATACTAAGCAATTTTATTTTGAACGAGATGTGTGTTTTTAGTCAAGTGGATGTTTGTAGTTAATTAATTTATGCAAACCTTTTTCTTATATTTTACGTTGTCGATAATATGGTTCTGGTTCTGGAACAGTAACATCATATTATCAGTTCCTTATAAAATATAAATAATTTTTCACAGTCTAGACGAGAACTAAACTTCATGTCATGAAAGACTGTAACGTGAATCTTGGAACTAATTGATCTTTGACTAGTGGATTAAACTAGTACATCCTAGATGCATTAGACGGACCCACATAAAGATAAGATTATTTTATACTAACCAAGTAATAATATGAAGTCAGTGTTGGTTGTGTATTCTTAACCCCTAAGACAATGTACGAACATATGTAGTCGACAATTACTTATTTGATTTATCATGGGTTATACATTCTGGTAGGTCGACTTACTTGATATTTTGGTAAGTAATGCAGCCTGCATCATGTACTGTCAATATTGTTTATGGTAACCGTATCCCAAAAATGACCGAGTTGATGATATCGCCGAAATGAGCTCAAGAAAGATTATTATGTCAAGCCTGACCGACGGATTAATTTTCGAGATAATAATAAAGAATTGAATGGTAATAATTTCGGATTTGAGAAGTTGATTTATTCTATTGGAAATAATTAAATTGATCAATGGGCGTTAAATCTGAAATATATGGATGTAAATCTAGCATTATATAAGGGAACCAAGTTATTCGAGTAATTCATAGATAAATAAAGAGTGCAATAATATTTCTATAGTGGAATGATTTATTATTCGAGTATTGAGTGGAGTGGGCTTCACCCAAAATTAGGCTCATGCATGGAAAGCCCATATTTAACATCTCCTTATGGTCTCTACTGTAGTCCGACAAATACACCAAGTCTCAAGACTCTAAATACAAGAGAAACAATATAGCACATGTTCAACTTCTCTCTTCCAAGGAGATTTGATCGGCTCTTTTATTTTTATTAAGAGTTTATGAGATTTGAGAGCTTCATTCGATCTCTCCACCAAGATCATTCGGAGATGGTGTTTTAGATAATACAGTAGAAGGTACTTATTTGCAACCCAGAGAGAGTATATATATATATATATATATATATATATATATATATGTGTGTGTGTGTGTATTGGGTGTCCGAAAGTTTTCGGATGACCACCAAACTTGACGAGAATGTTCACCGGCAACAACCGCATGTGGCGGTGTCACCAGCTCACTGGATGGAACTCAGGCGACCTTCGGAGACCCACCGAAATCCATCCAACATGGTCAGGCCCGCAGCCGCGCGCAACTCTCGTCTACCTTTCAAATAAGTAACATTAAAAAGAAAATTTCGAAACGTGATCCAAAATTTTTAAAATGTTTCAATGAAGTTGTCAGTTTTTTATAAGAATAATTACAATCTAATTGGTGTATTATGGTCGAAACGTATTTGCAATTACTTTAGAGTACGTACATTCATGTAATGTGATGATTTAGAAAAAAAATTTAGCGCCTCGGGAGTAGTGCATGCAGCCAGAATTTTGGAAAGTCAACTTTTATTGCGTGAAAAAATTCACTCCCACTGGTGGGCCAATGCCTCCATGTGGAAGGTACCAATTTCTATATGAGTAGAGAATATTGACGTATTTTATCTAATGGTTAATAAATATATATGTATATATATATATATATATATATATATATATATACAATTTTAGTGACACTTTATTTGATGTCTTTTTTCAAAGAAAACTTGAGGGTCGATGTTATTGAGTCTGCCACAAGTGCGGCCTCTATGTGCCTTTCGATTGCCAGTTGACTCCGGACGAAGGAGTCGAGGATTGGCTCGTTATAAACCATTCCCTGGTTATTTCTCATCGATGATCATGAATTGTTAATAGAAATATCTTATAAAGATCATGCATTCATTAATTAAATTACATGTTTGGCCAGTATATAACACATGCCAAAAAATGCTCCCTCCACTCTCTAAGTTTCTCTCTCTAGCCTATCTTCCTATTTCTTCCACCTTTCCAGCCTAAACCAGATCCACCAGCAGATAATCGTCGCCGGCGTCCGTCGTTGCCGGCGGCGAACCGCTTGGTACCGAGAGGCCGGGGGCCGGTACATTCATCCTTCCTCATCTTTCTTCCCCTCCTTTCCTCCATGGACAATCCTCCGAGCTGCCACTACTCGCAATCGACCGATTCTCTGCACCCCACCGGCGAGAACAAAGGCAAATTTTTTACATTGACAAACAACATCAAACACACTTTCAGATCTGTGGTCAACTTCTCCTTTCAATCATCTGACTAGCTGCGTCGCCCCCTAGCAGGTGGTCCATTGGACCTTGGTAAGACCCGCGGCGGCGTTCCTCCTCCCTCTGGTGCGACGCTTAAACCTTCTTCGCCGATATTTGCTCCAGCACCTCCGCCGCAACTGGTTGCTACTAATTACCCGGCAGGTCCCGCTTTGTTTCCTGTCACCGACACTCCAGACGGCCAGGTCACCGGCAGCCACCACCTGTGGCCGGTGCAATTTGGCTCTCTCTCGACGCAATCCCTCATCCCCCCGTCTGTTTCCTCTAACCCCACGGCGGCAGAAATCCCTCAGCTCACAGAAACCCTCCATACACTAGACTCTCCCTCAACTCAAAATTTGGGCCAACTTAATGGGCCGATATCAACTATTCACAATGCCAAGCCCACTCTTAACGGGCTGCTACCAAGGATAACATCGGATCCAATATGCAGGTCGGCTTCAATTTTTCCACAGCTCACAGAAACCCTCCCTACACAAGACTTTCCCTCAGCTAAAAAATTGGGCCATCTGAATGGGCCGCTACCAACTATTCACAATGCCAAGCCCACTCTTAACCACCCAACAGACCCATCATTCTCTCACGCCAAGCCCAACCCCCAGTCAGGCCCCATTGATATCCCCTCGACCCAGCTCACGGAGAATCCCTCCTCAACCCATGCGACGTTGACCGGTGACTTCCCCTCCGGCGCCGGCAGTGGGACCGGGCATCTTCAAACAGACGGAATGCCCCTCTCCACCGCGTTGACTGCTCCACTGCCGGGCACCTCCGAAACTGATCGGGCCCCCTTCTACGCCGAATCGGGGCGCACCACCTCGGCCAACGTCGGAAATGGCTCCACCCCACCTCTTACGGACGGAATACTAGGAAGCAGACCATACTCGACGCTCATATCTCCGCCGGAAAGGGAACATAGCGATCGGCCGCCAAGGGAAAGCGCAGCCCGAGAGCCGAACTTGGCCATCCCTCCTCCACAACCGGCGAACCAGGGCCCCCGCCCAACCGGAGCACGGTCTTTCTGAGATGCGGTCTCTGGCACATCTACCGCCAGACCGGGCCACCACAGACTGATGTTGGAGTCTTTTCGGGACAAACAGAGCGGGACCGTTACTCGCTCCGAGGAGGGCAGGTTCAAGGTAAGTCTCCCTGAGCCCATTGTTAATTCCCTAGCTGGGTCGTTTGATAATGCTCTCATCTTGAAGTTTTCCTTCACCATCCCCTCCCTCCGAGATTTATCTGTCGGTCTGGACAAATTGGGGTTCAAGGGTAGGATGTTGCCTAGGTTCCTTAATTATAATCATTATTTACTATTTTTTGAGTTGAAAGAGGACTACAATTCGGTTTAGATTAAGACGCATCTCAATATTTTTGGATGTGCTGGTCGAGTGTTTAAATACAACCCGAATTTCTCTTTTGTTGAGGAATCTCCCATCATCCCGGTGTGGTGCTGCTTTCCGGGCCTTCTACCACATCTTTTCGACCCTTCTGCCCTTTTTTCGATTGCCAGTTGCATTGGCAACCCCATTGATAGTGATGCCGCTACGGCAAACCGCTCGAGGTTATCTGTCACACGGGTGTGCGTGGAGATTTACCTCAGGGACAAGCTCATCAAGGAGATTGAGCTTGACCAAGCGGGCAAGACCACTATCTAGAAAGTGGTCTACGAGAGAGTTTCCCCGTTATGCACCCTATGCAGTCATGTAGGACATGGGACTGCAGAATGTTACACCAGGGGCGACAAGCCCCGACCCGCATTTCCCCCCCGTCGGCGTGTAGAGTGGCAGAACCCTACTGCCGCCCCGGGGAGCCCTAAGGAGAAGGGCAAGGCCCCTGCCCACGGTCCTGATCCGAAGGGACAAAAGGGCAAGGGGAAGGTCACCTCTGAGGCCTCCTGGACCAAGGAGGTTATCCTGAATGGGCCTAAAGCCAAAGCCACAGGCCTATTCCCTCACCAGTCTCTCCAGACTGCCTCTATGGCTACTCACTCTCGCTTCTCTGTGCTTGACACAGAGACGGAGGAGGAGATTTCCTCCTCCTCTGACCATTTAGGAGCTTAGACCAACTCCCCCTTTGATGACGACGACCTTCTAGACGATGAGATAGAGCCCTCACCCAGCCTTCTATATATTGAGGCTCCTCCCTCCCCATCAGCTCCCAGTCAGAGCTTAGAGCCTTCCCCTCACCATACCTCATTGTTGGAGCCTGAGCCTCTCCTTCTCCCACAAGTTCGACCCCTACTGACCCTACCTTCCACTTCCCCGACATCCCCTACTATCGAGTCTGGCCCGTCTTTCCCTCAGGGCCAGGCACATAGCACGGATGGTTTGGAGCACCTTCAGCTCATTCTCCTATCGCCGGAGGTTCCCCCCATGCGAGAGGGCCCTGCCCAAGAGGCCCCAGAGCACCGGATGCCACAGACCAGATCGAGGACTGCGCAGCTCTCTGCTATCCGAGCTCTAACTCTACCAGACATACAGACACAGCCTAACCACGGACAGCTCCAGTTAGGCGAACCCACTGACGTTTGACATGTCAGTCACATCGCTTACTTGGAATGCCCATGGTCTGGCTAATAGGACCACCCTTGCTCATGTTAGATCTCTCATTCGTGAGCATAACCTTGACTTTACGGCCTTCTTAGAGCCTATGACTCGAGACCCCTCTTTTGACATATACTCGCGCCGCCTGGGCTTTCATGCCGGGATGGGCAACATCTCTAACAAGATTTGGTTTTTCCACTCGCGTGACTTTACTTGTCAGATCCTTCGAGATACTGATTAGGTCTTGCACGTGAAGTTCACCGCCGCCTATCTTCCGGAGTCGATCTTTTACACCATGGTTTACGCCAGCTGTGCGAGGGTTGGTCGTTATGACCTATGGGACACCATGCGTGAAATGCTGAGAGTATGGAGGGATTACCGTGGATGGTTACCGGTGATTTCAACATATTTTTGCATCCCGATGAACGCATTGGTGGTGTATCGGACCGCTCAGTGGAGATCTTAGATTTCTCACATGCTGTATCGGATTGTGAGCTCATCGACGCTGGATATGAAGGGGCTCCCTTTACGTGGGAGAGGGCCGAAGTCAAGGAGAGGCTCGACCGCGGTCTCTACTCAGAGGCGTGGATGAGGGTTTTTGCGACCACGGTTGTAACGCACCTTCCTCGAATTGGATACGACCATGACCCCCTTTCTGATTCGTTGTCAGTTCTCTATCTCCCCTCGGCGAGCGTCCTTTCGTTTCCAGAACATGTGGCTCCGTCACCATTCTTACTACGATACTGTTAGAGCCTCCTGGCAGTAGGCTACGCACCTCTATGGGATGCGCAACCTGGAGGAGAAGCTCAAGAGACTCCGCTGCGTTTTGAAGCAGTGGAACTGGACGACTTTTGGTGACATTTCTCAGCGCCTTACTGCAGCTCAGACTGCGTATGCGGAGGCGGAACGGACCTATGATATGGACACTTCGCCAGAGAATAGGTCTGAGATGCGCTGCTGCCATGCTGAGTACCAGTTGCGCCTCCTCATGGAGGAAGATTTCTGGAAGCAGAAGGCTGTTGTACGCTCGGTGGCTGAGGGGGAACGTAATACCAAGTTCTTCCAGGGATTTTTGCGGCAGAAGCGAGTCAAGTCGTATCCATAGTGTCGAGGATAATGGGTCATCCGTGACCCAGGAGTCCCAGATACGGGAGTCGGCTAGGGCCTACTTCCACTCTCTCTTTTTCTCTAAGCGGGATTTGATTACGCACCCCGAACCGGCCCTATTTCAGACCATCCCGCAGTCGGTCAACCTCGTTGACCTCTGTGACCTCCCGAGTAAGGATGAAGTCAGGGAGGCTGTGTTTGGGATCGATCCCAACTGCGTCACTGGACGGGATGGTTTTTCGTCCCTCTTCTTCCAGTCTTGCTGGGAGATTGTGGGTACTGACGTAGAGAAAACTGTGAGAGATTTTTTCTCAGGCCACCAGATGCCAGAGTCCTTCACAGCAACCTCCATCATATTGATCCCGAAGAGATCGGGACCTAGCTCTTGGTCTGACTATAGACCTATCAGCTTATGCAACGTGACTAACAAGATCATTTCTAGATTTCTCAACGGACGCCTCGCCCCTCTCCTCCCCCAACTTGTCTCTCCGAACCAGAGTGGATTCATCAAGGATCGAGTCATTAGCGGTAATATCCTACTGGCTCAGGAGATGATACACGACATCTCTCATGCGAATCGAACACGAACCCCGAACCTCGTGCTGAAGCTAGACATGGCTAAAGTATATGATAGGGTCGAGTGGTCGTTTCTCAGAGAGGTACTGTTTCGGATGGGATTCCCTAACCGATGGATTAGCTTTGTGAAGGCATGTGTGGAGCACTGCGCATTCTTCGTTTTGATTAATGGTAGCCCCACGACCTTTTTCCCTTCTACCCGCGGCCTTCGTCAAGGGGACCCCTTATCCCCCTCCCTTTTTGTTCTGGTGGCTGACTATCTCTCTCGCGGCCTTGACGTCTTCATTCGAGATTTTCCGAGGATGACCTACAGCACGTGTGGTTGTGGGCCTCCTATTTCCCACCTATCTTATGCGGATGACATTATCATTTTCACTCATGCGAATGATAATGGGCTAGTAGCTCTCATGAGTCTTTTGGACCATTACAGTAAGACATCTGGCCAGCTAGTCAGTGTTAGTAAGAGCACCTTTATCATGGACTACCACGTTGCAGACCAGTGGGCTCACCAGATTCCCGAGCGCACTGGATTTGCTCGTGGAGATTTACCCATCCCTTACCTTGTGGCCCCCTTGTACAAAGGCCATCTCTCCCATGAGCTTTTCATTGACGTCCGTCAGAGGATGATTGACCGGATTTCTGGCTGGTCACATAGACATATATCCTTCGGAGGCCGACTTGCTCTAATCAAGAGCACTCTTTGTGCCCTCCCTCTTCAGCTTCTCGCGGTGATTGACCCCCACTAATCTACGATTCATGAGTTAGATCAGATCTTAGTCCGCTATTTTTGGAGCTTTGGCGAGGGCTCGCGGTGACGGCGACAGACCCATTGGTTGAAGTGGGACTCCATATGTCGTCCCCACACTGAGGGTGGGCTCGAGATTCAGCGTTTCTCTGATGTTGTTACTGCGTTTTCCTATAGGATATGGTGGCGCCTTAGGGAGGCAAGTCCCTTTAGGCCCAATACCTCCTGAGGAAATATTGCCCTGGTGTTGCTGCCCACCCTTGCAGGGTGACAGCAGCCGCTCGGAATAGTCGACAGTGGAGACGGCTCACCATTGTTGGCAGGCGTGCTCAAAAGCACATTTTTTGGACCTTGGGTGCTGGGGAGGTTAGCTTCTGGGACGAGTGGTGGTTCGTCGAGGCCCCTCTCTCGAGTACTAGGCCAGTCACTCACCTGCCTTTCATGTAGGTGAAGGACATTTGGACGGGGGGTTTTTGGGATAGAGATAAGATAAAGGATTTTCTCGGTGAGGGTGGGGGTTTTAGTAGTCTAGAGATTGACCTGATCCGACAGATTCCCATTCTGGATGGAGGTTTGGATGGCATGAGGTAGAGACTTACATCTTCGGGTGCATTCTCTACATCATCAGCCTGGGGAGATGTGAGGCTGGGCAACCGGCCAAACCGCCTCTTCGGGGCCATATGGACCGACCTTCTCACCCCGACCATTTCCGTCATTTTGTGGCGCCTCCTATTACGGCGCATTCCCATTGACACTGTGATGCAGCCGAAAGAGTTCTCCTTCCTTTCCTGATGTCATTGTTGTGCTGAGACTGGTACCTTTGAGATAGAGACTTTCACCAATCTTTTCCTTGAGA